GTAAAACTTGAAATTTCATTGTGTACATATATCGTGTACATCGTGTACATATATCGTGTACATCGAGTAGATATCGTAACTACTCACACTTTTTATATGTCAGCTCCAAAACATAACCTGTAACTGTTTTCAAAAACATCCGATACTGTATTCTGTTTCATTAACAAGATGCCATTAACAAATTACGAGCTTTTTTATTCAACCAATCCCTAACTGAAGAGTAAGCTTTGAATTCTTTTATTATATTTTGACGCATAGCAATTTCTTGTATAGCATTCGTAATCCTCTTGAAAATATGTTTATCGAGAATATCGAGATGATTTTTGCTCAAACCTTATATATTGAGTTCTTCTTTCTTTTCAATTCAAAAACTTCTTTGTTATTTTTAATTACATTATTTTGAGAGACCATGACAAAATCAAATGAAAGGGTCGTCATTTGACCCCATCATCGGAACTCTAAAATAAAATTACCCCCTATTTACATTAGATCAAAATTTTGACTACACTTAATTTAAATAGTATTTAATTTAAAGATGAACAATTTGTCGTTTTTTAAAAAATAAACAATAAAAAAATCACCCACTCATTAAATTAAAAAGTGCAAAATTTAAAATGAAACATGCATTCACATAATGTGAAAATTTTTAACTTGTATATATATATATATATATTGATATCGTCAAAAAGCAAATATTTAAAATGTGATTCTACGTCTGTCTACGTCAATCTACGTATTTATTTAAACTTGTCTATAATTTTATTGTTGAGATCTGTTGGGAATTCGTAGGAATTCGTTTTAATTCGAATTTAATTCGTGGGAATTCGTTTGGAAATTATAATGATTTAGTTTATTAGTCGAGATTTTATTTCATTTAAGACAGATTGTTTTTAAGAATGATTAAATATCATTAGATATTTGATTCCGTACCATTAAATGATTGCTATATATTAACCTTTATAATATTTATTAATAATTATACCATTTCGTACCGTTTGGACATAAAAAAAAGGCCAAAAGCTGGTTATGGCAATACAAATGATGGAAACACAGCTCGCAGATTTTTTTAAATTAATATATTGTATGAAAGAATCTTATAAAGAACGCGACTAAGACTGTATAAGATATATAATCATACCCGGAAATAGTAGCGTATTTATACAAATATAGATTTGCTAAATTTGCTTTTTGTAACATATGACTGTTAAAAACTCTTCTAGAAAACTGCCTGCAACCAAAAGCTATAAATTCGTAGTAAAAATTTTAAATTTAATTGTACCGCCTCAAACAATAGCAAACCGTACCTTTTTCCATAAATCATTTAATGTTTCTAATAATGAGTCTGAAGATTATTATATGTATGCTTGCTTTTTAAATATACTTTTATGATTTGTACTTCCTTTTTTTAATTATAAATATCTTCCGACTTTTTAAGACACTAAACTCTTGGTAGTTGTTCAATAAAAAAAACAAAGTATTATTTTTTTAATTCCAAAATTCATGACCAGAACAATCGAAATGTAGAGATAATAATTTTTGTCCAGCTAGCTTGTATGAGGCGATTTACTGTGCATACGTCACACTTCACAATGTACACACGTCAGAAAATATTTTTGTAAACAAATTTTAAATGAGCATATCTTTATTAATTAGAAAAACAAAAAACAATAATTTTTCTCAACATGTACAATTATAAACTTGCGCCCTCTATCGAAAAAATCTTGAATCAATAAATGTTCCGAAAATAAATCATGTGAATAAAACACGAAAATAAATCATGTGAATAAAACGCGAGAGGGTTGACTGTGACTTATTCATTTAGAAACTCATAAAATAAAAACTTAGAAACTGCTTTTCCAAATCTTGAGACAGTTTTGAGAATCTTTTTATGGTTTTTTGTAACAAATTATTCCGATCAGGGTTAGGGTCCGAGTTAGGGTTCTCTCGTGTTTTATTCACATGATTTATTTCAACTTTATTAACTCTACATTGTCATAATTTTCAAACAAAATTTAATACCAGGCTTGGTCGGGAAGCGGGAGCGATCGCTCTCGATTGCTGACCACGTAAATAATATTTAGTTGTGAAAAGCTGGCCAGATTTTTTAGTCGTTTTGAGAACATTTTAAAAAGCAAAAAAAAAAAAGCGACTATTAATATAAATAAAGATTAATTGGACCGATGAGAGACAATTACGAAAAAAAAAAGTGGGCAAATAAAGTATCTTTAAACGCGAAAAAACTTTAAGCTAAATAAATTACATTTAGAACAAATATTTACGAAACATCGCTTTTTTATAATTTTTTTTTATAAAATTAAGCGATGTTTTTTATATATCTTACGATTGTTTAAAAAGGAAAAAAATATTCTTCATTTAACAAAGTTTGCAAGTTTTAGTTTTATTTAAGCTAAATTATTTTATAAACAAAAAAGTTAATTTTTTTAATACCTATTTTATGTTTCGCGTAGTTTGAAAAGTTTAACATATTTGAAGCGATTCTTCTTAGTAAGATAAACAAATGAAATAATTAAATCATTGAATTACTATAGGAATTAAATTATCAAGATAAAAATCAAATAAAAAGGTTAAAAATACGTAATGACCAGGAAGCGAAACTGCTTCACAATATCGCTGATGATGTTTAGTGAGTGGGTTTTTAATTTTAATTAGTATTTAAAGTAGAAAAAAGTATAACGAGTTTTAAGAATGGCAACTTAAGCGAAAATAATTAGAATTAGTAAACCAATATCTAGAAACTCTTCTTTATATCTAATTATTTGCTATTATATATTTGTGTTCTGTCGTGACCTCAGGCGCGATGCTTGTTCATCCGCGAGTTACTTTGTATGCGTTGTTTGTGTTAAGTAACCAGAAACTTCTTAAATGTTTGTTACATAATTAGTTTTATTAACTTTAACGATTATAACTTCATTGAAAACGCAATTATTTTTGTAAGTCTTTGTTTAAATCATAAAAATTGCTTTAAAAGATACATTACGATAAAAAACAAATACACAAAATTACGTTTACATAAAGAATACAATCTCTTTTAAAATAAAAAATAAGAATATACTAATAAAATCTATAATTTATAATAAACTTTTAAAATTTAAACAATTTAATTAATATATATTTAAAACATTTATTTTCGTAAACAAATAATATATATTCTTAAAACAATACTAGAAATCTCAAAACGTAACAAATCGTGAATAATACAATTTCTAAAACATTTTAACAGAATACTCTAGAACTTTATTTCGCTTAATCAGCGTATTTTTTGAACCAATAGAATTAGTTTGTTTGTTAATTTGGCGGGTTTTTAGTGTTCGCAAATATTCTTTTTATTCTTTCGCACGAAGATAATTTGAGAACATTCTAGTTTATTATGTTTCCATGTATGTCCGTAAAACAAAAATTCTGTGTTTCGTACATAAACTTAAATGTTCTCAAAACGACTAAAAAACCTGGCCAGTTTTACGCAACTAAATATAATTTCCGTGGTCAGTATTCGAGAGCGATCGCTCCCGCTTCCCGACCAAGCCTGTAATACATAAACTTAATAATATTTCAAATAAAATTTAAAATCTGTCAATAAAGGTAGTAAAAATACAAAACTCAGTAACTTCATGCCTCAACATTTGCGACTTAAATAAGCGACTAATCCAAGAACCTCTATCGGCTGTTACGTTTTGATCTTTTGCTGTACCTGCTTTCTAACTACACCGCAACAACCCTAACCACCAAATTGGTTAACTGTAACCACCCAAAAGGCAATTAGAAGCAAAATAAGAACAGATAAATGATGTTAGTCATTAGGCCGAGAAGCGATTTACAACATTTTACATGGTTTTTCAATTAAAGAGTGTCAAAATCAGTTACCTTAGGTAGGTCGGGTACAATATATTTAAGACATCCATTGTTTACATAAGTTACAAATAACTTACATAATACAAATAACAAATAAGCGATTTAAAGACACTGATTGGATAACAGCGTAATTAAATCGCAAAAGGGTTTTTAGTTATTGTAAATATTATTACTAAGTCTAGTTTTAAATCATTCTGTTAAGACAAATTTCTTGACAAACACTAATATGTTTATATCAAAGTATATACCATGATGGGTTTTCGCTTTTTAGTTAGAAAACCAGTGTAGACCTTTTGTACCAATTTAACATGCGGCTTAACATAGCTTAAAAAATGATCTTTAATACATCTCCCTTATGGTTCCCTTATGGTTAATTTATGATCTCCCTTACGGTTATTTATGCTGGTTTAAAATATTATTAGTTGCTCTTTAAAATATTTCTTCTGATAAATTTTTTACGATTAAATCATAGTACGTTAACAAATCTAGTTTGACAATAAACCTTCAAAAATCCTTTTTTTTTAATATTTATTTTTCATTCATAACATTAACAGAGTTTAGACAAACAAAAAAAAGTTTTATTTATCACAACATTTTTAAACATAAAGAAACGAGTTACAAGAATATAAGTTTTTGTTCGATAAGCACACAAAGTGGGTAACTACCATTTTAATTGTGTAATAATGGTAATTCTTACTTATATTTTAATAATGTAATATATTATAGTTGAGAAGGAACTTGAAACGGAAAGAAATGAAGATATTTTTTTCACATGCTTAAACTTATATTTTTTACATAATAAAACTTATTTTTTGAGATGGTAACTTTTTTTTAACTGAAATTAAGTTTAAAATAATCAATTTATCATATTTTATCAAAATTTATCATGTTATACATTTTTTATTTTTTATTTAGACTATTCTTTTTTTTTAATTCTTTTATATTATTAATAAACTAACCTAACTATTCGACAACATTATTTATTTTTAAAAAATATTGTGCTTTGTTTAGTTTTATATCTAACCATTATTTACTTTAATTCATTCAATTTGCTGACACCGTCATAAAAAAATACAAATTTTCCGTAAAGCAAAGAAAGAGTTAAAACTCTTGTTTGCTCAACGTTTTCAGGTTTGAACAATAGTTAGAAGTTTTATTTATTTTGACTTTTAAAATTGATAATGAAGATATTTTTGTTGTTGTCGCTATTGAACATTTTTACTTAACACAAGAAAATTTTCAGCGTGACATTTTCAATGATCATTTTTATTAGTCTATCAAGCCTCAACATGCACAAGTTATATGTAGATTTTGTTAAGAGTAGATTAACATATTAAAAATTGAAACAAATTTAAGAAAAAGAAAATTTAATAAAGAAATTGGAGAAATACAAAAAAAAAAGTAGAAATATTTTACACTAACCGCAGTTAACTAGTGCTTTTTAAAATCACTTATTCTTTTTGGATATAGTTCGACAATATAAAAATGTTCGAATGTTTATGTTCGAATACTCAGGTAACACTGGAATAACTTATTACTTTCCTCTTTAAAAGAATAGTGCAAAAAGACTAATATGAAAACAAAATTGTTTTCAAGAATTTTTACTAAACATTAAAGCTAAAAAGTTCTGTTTCTTAGCATTTTTCTTTTATCCATTTAAGATATAATAACATAAACTAACATATAACAATATTAATATAAAAGTGCAGCACAAATTTTTTTTTAATAGTTCGATAAGTCGAAACTACGTATTGTTATAATTAAAATTTTGAAAAAATAAAATAAACCAGGGCCGACGACATTGGGGTGGGGGCACGTGCCCACACTTTTTTTCTGAATGACCCTTTTTTTTTTTTTTTTTGAGAAAATTCTAGATATAGACGAACATTTTTTAGAAATTAACAACTGTACCCCTCCACTTCGAAACCCGTGTCGTCGGCCATGTAAATTTTAAGATTGTAATTAAAAGTTCAAAGTTTAGTTTATTTAATTAATCAAACGTATTTTTTTTTTTTTTTTTTTAGGAGAAGAGGTTGTCTCTTGTGATAATAAAATACAACTGTCTATTGTTAAATAGAAATACCTGTAACTTCCTTTTGCATATTCTCAACAAAGACTTTCATTAATTAATTTGAGCTATTTAATTTACTATAAAACTGATTATATGGTCCAATGATGGTGCAAAAGTTATGCTAAGATGGCGTTAGCGTGTTATTAGGTCTTCTTAGAAATTTCTTGATAAAATAGTTTTAAAAAATCTTGGGTATAAAAATTTCTATATAAAAACTTTTTTTAGAAATTTAGAGAAAGTCTAATTTAGAGTAACAAACTCTAAATTTTTGCAAACAAAGTTTTTTTGTCGTTGTTAAAACTGTTGACATTATGACGCAGATGTACAATGTAATAAGAATTTTTTCTTATAGTACGGTGAAATTTATAATATCATATTATAATTGATAATATTGATAATGACTCAACGTTTATAAATAACTTAAAAACAAAGTTAAAACATGAAATAAAAAAACGAAAAAAGTTTTGCAATTTTTTATACAAGTTTAATGAAATAAAAAAAAGTTAAAAAACATTTTATTCAGGGGGTTTTTTGAAATAAAAAAAAGTTAGTAAATTTCATTGAGGGGGAGGGGGCACCAAGAAAAAAAATTCTGTAGAATTTCTTTAAAATTTATAAAAATTCTATAGAATTTCTATAAAATGTCTTTTAATTGCTATAGAAATTGCTATAAAACTTTTTTTATCTATAAATATATGAAGAAAAAAAAGTTTTTTAGCAATTTCAATAGAGATTCTATAGAAATTGTATAGAATTCAATAGAATTCCTATAGACCACATGTTTCAAAAATTTATAAAAATTCTATAGAACTTTTTTTCCTGGGTAGTTAAAAGTTCTTTCGAAATAAAAAAAGTTTAAGAATATTTTATTCAGAACGATAGTTGATAGTTTTTAAATAGTAATTTTTGCTAATACGTTGTTAATACGTTATTAAATACTCACCTGTCTCACTTTGCCTACACCTTAACTCAATAGCACGGTTCCTTTAAAATCAAAAAAGTATATATTTTATTATAACCTGCTGTCAATCCTAAGAGATGGAATCTGTGGACAAAGTGATGGTTTATTGGTTTAAACTTGCTTGGTTCATTTTATTGTAGAAGTAAGTTTTTAAAATTTTCCACTTCTCCTTGCATATACCCAATGGGCACCGGACCTAAAAAAGACGTCTTTTGAACGTTCAAAAGACGTCCAAAACGTTTATAGGACGCTTAAAAACGTCTTTTTTACTTCCGTGTCCACTGGGTGTATACATATATATATATATATATATATATATATATATATATATATATATATATATATATATATATATATATATATATATACATATATATATATATATATATATATATATATATATATATATGCATACATATATATGTATATATATATATATATATGCATACATATATATGTATATATATATATATATATATATATATATATATATATATATATATATATATATATAAAATATATATATATATATATATATATATATATATATATATATATATATATATATATATATATATATATATATATATATATATATGTATATATACAGGGCTGGCGCGAGTAGGTGTCATGTGGGGGGGGGGGGGTGCCATTAAAATTTTTGCCGACTAAAAAAAAAAAAAAGGTCCTTGTTTTCGAAAATTTTCCGACTGCCATGACGATATTTGCCGACAGTCTAGATTACCGACTAACCTATATCGAAAGGGTCGACATCTGCCGACTAACTAGTCTAAAAGGGTCAAATTTGCCGACTAAGGGTTTAATTTGCCGACTAAAAATCATTGATGAAGGGGGTGTGACACACCTCCGCACCCCCCTTTCGCGCCAGCCTTATATATACATACATATATATATATATATATATATATATATATATATATATATATATATATATATATATATATATATATATATATATATATATATATATATATATATATATATATATATATATATATATATATATATATATATATATATATATATATGTTTATATATATATATATATATATATATATATGTTTATATATATATATATATGTTTATATATATATATATATATATATATTATATATACTTTGAAGTATTTGTATTTAAAATACAACTTTGGATATATTTGTAATTTTAGTGTTTCTCAAAATACAAAATAAGTTTTCAGCTGATAATATTAAAAGCATGGCTGATTTTAGGCCATGTGAATAAAAAAGCAATTGCTTTCACTTAGCGTTGTTAGAGTTCTCAGCTTAACATGATTATGTAACTATTACATTTTCAATTATTTAGGACAACAGGGAAGACTCGATGGAATTTAACTTATGATGCCATATGTCGAATTTTGGAGCCAAGGGTAAAAGAAAAGCTCCCCCATCACATGGTTGCATTTAAACTACGTTGTTTCAAACCAGTGGAGTTTGAGGTATTGAAAGAATACAAGCAGTTTATGAAACCTACTGCTGATGCTCTAGACAAACTGCAAAGGAATAATAATTGTTTCCTGGGATTCCTGATGCCAACGGTTCAGCAAGTTCGAAAGAAACTTGTGTTGCTTGTTCTAAAAACTATTTACAGTGGAAGTTAAATTGAGGGATTGATTTCAAATGTTGATCAGTAGTTTCCACATTTGTTTGAGTATAATAGTTCATCCAAAATATATGCGATTGCAGCTGCATGTCATCCTCATCTGAAACTGCACTGAGTTCCAAAGGAACCCAGTGCAGTGCACAAGAAACTGAGTTAAAAAAGTCTTTATAAAAGAGGCACAAAAATCAGTTAAGCTGAAAGCTCTGCAGGTGCTGACAAATCATTGACGTCTGGAACTGATGATTTTTTTGAATCCAAATCACTAAATCTGCATACACACTAGTCAGTCAACAGTTACTATCGAATGTTTACAATATTCAATTGGTAAGAAACTTTTCAGAGTTGTTAATGTATCTGTTTCATTGTCTGCTCCATTTAAACACCTATTTTCTAATGGAGCCTTAACTGCTGTGACACGTTGCAATCTGTTATCAGATAAACATAGTATATAGTTAATAGTTTTTGAACAATCATTGTTGCTGAAAGCCAACAAAAATTAAAATTAGATTATATTGTAATTTTAAACTTTAGCTGCTTTAACCTAGTGGTCACTCCCATTGTATGTAAAAAAAGACGTCTTTTAAACGTCTTAAACTCGTTTAGGGTCCGGCGCCCACTGAGAACCCAGTGGATACCGTGGGAAAGCACTTTTTTAAGTTTTGCTTCCCAAAAGAATTTTGTATTTTTAATACTTTTATATATAAAAGTATTTTATATATAAAAACTTTATATATAAAAGTAAAATATAAAATACATAACACTCATAATATATATATATATATATATATATATATATATATATATATATATATATATATATATATATATATATATATATATATATATATATATATGTATATATATATATATATATATATATATATATATATATATATATATATATATATATATATATATATATATATATATATATATATATACATATATATGTGTATATATATATATATATATATATATATATATATATATATATATATATATATATATATATATATATATATATATATATATATATATATATATATATATATATATATATATATATATATATATATACAGTGGGCAAAATAATTGTCCGTACATTAATGAAAAATAAGGTTTTTTGAAAAAAGCTCTAAAACTTTAAATGATAGAAAAAAATAAATTAAACCAATAGATAGCGCACTAGAAAACAAATAAAAACGATACACCATCTTTAATTTTCTCCCGACATTTTAAATTATAATTAACTTATTTAAAAGTTTTAAAAATGTTAAATCCAAAAAATTGTCCGTACTTAAAAGGTAAAATTTTGTTTATAAATGATTTTTATATTAATATCTTGTACTTTTAGGTTAAATAATACTATAATAAATAAAAGTAAACCTTTTCTTATCTACGTGACTATGATGGAAGGAAAAAGAAAAGAATATACTATTGACTTACATAAACGAGTA